AATATGCCTGTTAATTTCTCTTTCTATATATTTAAATGGAGATTGCTTGAGCCATATTGTTTGAATTACTGCCCATAGCAGACCATCTCCAGATCATGTGGTTGGCTCATCCTGTCTTACAGTTGATTATACTTCATGTCGTTTTCCAGCATTGTATTTTCCAGGGATTTAAAGTCTGGGTTGAAGATTAAATTCAAATCTGCAAATATCTTGCAAGTGAAAATGTGTGATTATCTATATATATAATCTTTTACAATCAAAATACTAATCCTGAGCCAAATAAAATTTTCACTTACTAGAATTCATGTTGTCACATTAGCTACTAAAAGCAATTGTTTCCTTTGACTGAAATCAGATGTTTCTGGTATAGACGAGGCAGTTTTCGTAATGCGGGCATTGGACAGAGTTTCTAGGATTTAAATATTTTAGGGTTGGGGTATCTGAAGTGTAGATCCATTACTGGCCACTTGTATACCAGACTATTTGCTAGAACTTATCTGATCACTGGAGTTTACAAACACTGTGCAGTAACACAATGAGTTGCTCTCTATTTTTCCACAACTGTACTTGAAAAATATGTGGTATCATTTCACAGAATTAGTAAGTGATGCTTTGGGATATAAACACAGGGCTCAGACCTATAATTTTAGTGTCTTTTTATATGAGCCAACAGAAATGGAATTCCAGAGGGATACTTTGACTGTAAGCAGTAAAACCCCACTTCAAAATGGCTAAAACAAGAAGGAAAATGTATTTTAAAACCAGGTGAGTCCCAGTGCAAGGTGCCTCCAGCTTGTAGAGGACATCAGTTCCATGATGGATTCATACACCTGGCTTTGGGTTTTTAGGGAAAGCTTTATATCATTAGGGAACTGTTTACCAGCCAAGTTTCTAGATGTTAGTCAAGGGCTAACCCTGCAAGCAGTCCTTTCTAAGGATAGCAATCTCAGGTCTGTTATGTTACCTTTTTTCTGCACAGATTCATTTGTCACTATTCCCAACAATATTGCATTGACCTTTGGGTCTAGATTTCGGTTGGATGAATCCACACATGAATTTGCTTGGTCAAACTGTATAACATTTTGTTAATTATTGCCAAATTGGGCTCTAGAAAGACTGCCAGTTTACATTCCCACTAACAGTATTTGCAAGTGACTCCAGATCCCCATTATCAGTCTTTGTAATTGTGGCCAGTTGAATACAGCATGAATCTTAGCAGAAATATAGGTAAAAATAAAATTGTTAAGCAGATGTGAGTTGTTACTTGGTACATCCAACAAGAGTGCAGTGGTTAAGCTATAGTGAGTTTTTCATGGGTATATTTTGAAGATACGATGTGAATCACTTGATAAATTTGCTTTAAATGTGAAATTGAAGCTTACAGAACAGATTTCAAATAGAAAATGTTTGTATTTAACAGTGGGTTTTCAGAGTTAAAATATGATGTCCAAATACTAGTCACCAATTAAATTAAGCAATTTTGCCAACTTGATTATAACAAAATAAGTGTACCAAGTCATAAATACATGATTTCATTATTAAATATTTACCAAATTAACATTTTGTGAGGGAAGAGGGGTTGTGGTTGTGGCAGTGCATATAAAATAAGCAGTATTTTAAAACAATACCACTTTCAGAAATGTCAGTATCCGAAAGTATTGTTCAAAGTAAAGAATTGGATGTATAGTAGTTTTAATGTTATATGCCAGGTTTACTTGGGGTATCTAAAAAAAAACATGAAAAAAGGCTGGGTGCAGTGGCTCACGCCTGTAATCCTAGCACTTCAGGAGGCCGAGGAGGGAGGATTGCTTGAGGCCAGGAGTTTGAGACCAGCCTGAGCAAGAGTGAGACCCCGTCTCTACAAAAAAAATAGAAAAATTAGCTGGGCGTGGTGACACACGCCTGTAGTCCCAGTTACTCGAGAGGCTGAGGCAGGAGAATAGCTTGAGCTCAGGAGTTTGAGGTTGCTGTGAGCCATGATGATGCCACTGCACTCCAGTCTGGACAACAGAGAGAGATGATGTCTCAAAAAACAAAAAAAAAAAGAGTAAAAGAAGTGAAATTATAAAGAAAATGCAGCTTATATGGATGCTTACTTAGGGGAATATTTTTTACTTTGAAAGTAAAGTATCCCTATTTAATTTCTTCAGAAGAAAACTACTCTGGGATGTGCAGTTCTCTATGAGAAATCATAGTGTGTTGCTTTTGTTTTCTTTTGTACTATTATGGGTTTATGTTGTAAGCACACCTAAGATCCCACCTGGATTTATAACCCCTTTTTCTTAATACCTTAAAGTTTTTCTAACTGTGAGTGGATATATTCAATGAGGGGAAACATGCCCAGTCTCTTTAACACCAGTTAAACTGCTTGTTCCCTGAGACAGACAACAGTTGTGCCATTTGCAAGCCAAAGGAGAGATAATGAACCAACTTTTGGGCAATGACTTTGTCTTATACAGGGATTTTTCAGAACAGTGATAAAGAACAACATTAAAAACTTTATCTAAATGGTGCAGAACTATTTTACTGACTTGTCCAAAAATATTAATTGCATAGTGCTTTTGAAATATAAAGATATGAATGCTAAACTTCAAAATAATTACAGCTGGAAAGTAAGCTTTTTAAAAAGTACTTGGATGCCAAGGAAACCTAAATAATAATGAGGTGACTTTTGAGGCAATTTTCTTAAGTCATAATAATTGAAAGCTTACATGTTTACAACAGATCCTCAGACTGATAGGAGACCAAGTTCTCATGGCTCTACTGGCAAGGAGACCCTGGTTTCCTTTTTTCGAATTGGATTGGCTACAATACATATTCTCTTTTCCATAAACTATTTTGGTTATGACAAAAAGATTCACACATACAGATAAAATATCTTTAATTGAAGTATCTTTAAAAATGAACTTTATGAAAGGAAAATTACTTTCATTTTGATGTAAGGAGCCTAGGAAATTAAGCATAGTTACTAATGCCTTCCTAACTTACCCTTGATTCTTGAATTAAATTGCAGTTTGAAATGCTTTTTAAATGACATTGAGAAAACTCTGGGTGCTTAACTATTCACATTATCATTTGTCTTTTGAACAACTATGTAGTAATTTTCATTGCACATCTTATTTCCTATATTGAAGTAAATGTCAAAGCCTAGATTTCAGATTGTATGATTTCTTTTTATGTGATATTTTTATGCCTGAATTATTTTAATCTGTAAATTGCAGGCCTGGTTTTTTTTTTTTTATGATAAGTTTGGACAGCCTCCTTTAGGTTGCAAGGAACCCTCACATTGTCTTAAATGCTGGAGGCTTATTGTAAAAATACAATGAACAGACAATGGCCTCATCAGAGGCAAAGTTTCTTGGAGAAATGGAAAAATGGCTTTTTCACGTAGTGAACATCAGCTGCTCAGACGACTGAATTGTGTCCTCCTTTTCGAAGTGGGTGTTCATTGCTGTGTAGTCCCAATATGCATTCTCTTACTCGTGTGCTCCCCATGTTCTCTCTGCCCACTTCTCCCTCTGCTACTTTTGCTGTCTTCTACTGTGCCGGAAGGAGGATTGATTCTATTAGTTAAATCCAAAATAGAGCCCCCTGATTGGGCAGAGATTATTCAACTGAGTCATTCTGGCTGTGGCCTCCCTTATGTCCAAGCAAAAGGATGGCTTCCCTTAACTAGGGCAGAAATCCCTGGTACAATCAATTGTAGGCAGTGTAGAGGGTCACATACCACAGCAAATTATGGGGAAGGACCCATCTCTGGCAGCTTTCCTCAGAAGAGGTTGTGAGCAGGACAGGCCTTTAGAATCTCATGGATTTCTCAGTCTAATCATGGATTTGATTGAAATGATAATGATGCTATATACATTATTGTCAATATTGCAACTTCATGATATAATCAAGTAGTGGCAAAAATGTTCACTTGACAAACAGCAGCATTGCACAGTGGTAAAGAGCATCAGCTCTGCAGCCAGACTGCCAGGGTTTGCTCTGGGGTTACAATGTGCCTCCACGATTTAATAGAATCTACCTGTAATAAATTAGAGATGGATATCCTTAACTTGGTATAATTCCATTTTATTCCCTCCCATCCTTTGTGATATTGTTGTCATGTATTTTACTTCTATGTTATCAGCCCCATTATACATTTTATTCTTGCTTTAAACAAAAAATAAGAGAAAAAAATAGTCCTACATTTACTCACATGTAAACCTTATTCATTGCTCTTCATTCCTTCATGCAAATCTCTGCTTTTATCTGGAATAATTTTCCTTTGGCCTGAAAAACTTCTT